ACACACACACACACACACACACACACACACACACACACACACCTGAGCCATGAGCATTCTCTTCTGTTCTATGAAAGCAAGGGGAAAGCTGTAGCTTGCTGGGTCCTGGGTCTGCTCTACATTTGTTTTTATAAACCTGTCTTCCATCAGTTGAGTCCCTGGAAATGCTGATACCCCTCCACGTAACATTCTCCTGCTTCACATGAGTCAATTGCTTTTGGTGATGATGTAAGAAATGTCCGAACATGTGGAGAATTTTTCTAAGTTTATTTGACCATAGTTAGTAACATTTGCCGGGAAGAAAAATAACACGTTGAGTAATGCACGGGAGAATGAAAGTTTTGCACCATTTTTATACATTAGACTCAAAGGAGAAGACATAAGGGGGTTGCATGAAATTCACTGGTGGTAAATTAGAGTGTGGGGAACGAGGAGGGAAATCTCTGGGATTAAATAAAATTAAAAAATAGACAAAAAATTCAATTCTTTTTAAAAATGTTCTCCAATAGTTAACACTTAATATTTGACACAACAACAATAATTGAGGACCTGAGGTCTTTTGTGTTTGGAGATTGTGCCCTTAGGAGTCTGTAAAAAAGGAAATTTCCCTGAATATCCAAAGGTATGTATTCTAGATGCAAAAAGAGAATAGACACGCTCAATATGCGCAATATTAACCTTTGCAAAGAAACAATACAAAAAAAAGGAGGCTAGGGCATAACTAGTCCTGTGACTTGCTTTTCTATCCAGGAAGTGAGAAGTGCCTGCCTGGGAATGTCTCTGCAGGGAGTGGCTGGAGTTGCTGGAGCCAAGGCAGGCTGCAGGCACAGCTGCGTTACACAAGTGGACACCTTACCACTGGACCTTCTCCAATAGTTCCGGTATGGAAACATACCTCATACTTTTTTTCACAGGTGGAAACTGACTTAGACCAGCAGAAGGGGTTATTTCTTTTAAAAAATATATACATATTTTATTGGTTGTTTTTTTTTACAGAGAGGAAATGAGAGGGATAGCCAAATGCTAATTAAACCCCAAAATTACTGGCTCCTCTAATTCAAACAGCTCCTCTGCTCAAACTGCAGAACAAGATAAGCTACTTTCAAGGCTAAATTCTTACATACCCCTCCTTCCTGCTGTTGTTACACCACAGGGATAACTCACACCATGGAGTCTCTAGTCAGTAGAAAGTTTCCACGCCTCCACCCCTTCAAACAAGCCTCTTTTGAACTCTTCATAACTTTTTCTCTGGTCATATTTTATAGGCTGGGAAAGAAACTGATAAGACACCTCCCTAGAACATCTGCAGACTGTCTCCTAGAAAGGAAACAAACTGTAACTTTAAAGGACAGCCCGTGTTATCTACACAACTTCAGCTCAGCCCAAGGTCCCTCCATTCTTTGTCCCTTAGTGACAGGCACTGCTGGAAAGCAGAAGCCACCATTTCTTCCCTGCCCTGAATTGACTAGCAATACTTGGTCTTTTCCTCTCTTGGAAAATAGAATAAACTTCCTCTCTGCATTGCTTTTAGTTGTGAATTCTTTCAAAAGCTGTATCACTGCCCAAAACTTAACAGTATTCCTTTACGTTGTAGAGTAAAGGGAGAGATTGAGAAAGAAGATGAGGGAAATGACATTGTAGAGGCAAAATAATTTTCTCTTCTTTTCTGGGTTCTTTGGTTAGTCTAAAATTTAAATGGATAGCCTTAGCTGATTTGGCTTAGGGGACAGAGATTCGGCCTGTGGACTGAAGGGTTCCTGGTTCAATTCAGGTCAGGGGCACATGCCCGGGTTGAAGGCTTGAACCCCAGTGTGGGGCACACAGGAGGCAGCCCAGCAATAATTCTCTCTCATCATTGATGTTTCTGTCTCTCTCTCCCTCTCTGGGACCAATAGAAATATATTTTTTAAATATAAAATAAAATAAAAAATTTGCCCTAATCATTTTGGCTTAGTGGATAGAGGGTCGACCTGCGGACTGAAGGGTCCTAGGTTCAATTCAGGTCGACGGCTTATACCTTGGTTGCGTGCATATCCCCAGTAGGGGGTGTGCAGGAGGCAGCTGATTGATGTTTCTCTCTCATAGATGTTTCTAACTCTCTATCCCTTTCCCTTCCTCTCTGTAAAAAAATAAAATAAAATAAAATAAAATGAATATAACACAGATTAACAGGGGAAAACAATAAAAAAGTTATTAGCATGTATACCTACTGTATACATCAAGCATGTCAAACGTGGGGCCCCCAGGCTGCAGGGGCTCACAATGAATAGTCATTAATGATCACTCATTTATATCATCCCTTTGTATTCAACCTATCGAAATAAACCTAAGTTACGATGAAAATGTTAGCTTTTTTGTGTTTGTTTGGCCCACATAAACTTAAACATTGTTTATATGGCTTGTGTTAGCCTTTGAGCTTGACTGCTTCATATATGGAAATGACTCAAAAAAGAGTAACAGGCCGAAATGGCAAACACCATAATCTGAAAAGCCAACTTAACCTACAATCTAAAAATGTTGTGTGTGGAGAGTCAGTTAGGGTAGATTGTCAGGAAAAGCACAGTAAGGACCTCAGTGGTGGCCTAGTGTGCTGTGCACTGCGATGAGGGCTTGTACTTAAAAGGACTCTGTTCCAACCCAATGACCCAGGGTGTAGACACAGGAGGTTGGGAGGGAGGACTGGGGTCCAGAACATGATCCGGGCTGCAGGGAAAGCATGGTGAGAGCCATTATCTCATTCAGCCAGTGGGAATATACAGGAGAGAATCACATGGCAGTGGGTCTTATGCATGAATAAGAGGTGAGCACCCGTCCAATGAGACCAGGATCATGTAGGACTCCAGCATCCCTTCCGAATATTAGGTCGTAAAATTCATATCAAAGTGTATCCTCCCCTGAAGGGTGAGTGTCAAACTGAAGGGTCAAACAGAAGCATGAAATTCACCAAAGTAAATAGAATGGCAGCATGACACCCATCATGTGGGCACAAGTGCAGAGACCCAGCCCTAACTACCGAGGTCTCCTGAGGGTCATATTCTGTGCTGGGATCAGAGGGAAGGTAGACAAACAGCAGCTCACTCTGAAAGAAGGTTCCCCTGGAGAAACCACTGCAGCTGAGAAATGATGGCGTTGCCCTGAATACGGGGAGGCCAGGGGCAAGTGGTCTGAAGTGTAAAGGGAATGGGAGGAAAAGCATAACTGCAACCATGGGAACAGGAGCTGCAGCTGAGCCACCCTGGGCCTCAGACTGTACCTGCTCCAGTGAGGGCTGCACATCTGAGGTACGGACTGTGTCTGACACTGGGGAAAATAATAGTTAAAAATCCAGCTCCTTGAATCTGACACTTGTCTGTGGTGTAAACTTGGGGAGCTGACTTCATTTCTCTGACCCTGAACTTTTTCAGCAATTTGATATGGGCCGCACCACAATGAGACCTGAGTGCCCACAGCACCTGCCTCCCTGCAGCAGAGTCAGTGGCTTCTTATAGGTCCCATTTCTCACTAAAATGCACCCAAAGGCAGAGATGCTTGTGGGTTTCAAGGCGTGAGAAGTGCCTGCCTGGTAATGTCTCTGTAGGGAGAGGCAGGAGTTCAAAGGAGACGGGAGGAGAGAGAGAGAGAGAGAAATCAGCCCTGATCGGTTTGGCTCAGTGTATAGAGCGTCGGCCTGCGGACTGAAGGGTTCCAGGTACGATTCCAGTCAAGGACATGTACCATTAAAACATATCATTCCAATACAAAAAATGTTTATTTTTTAAATAAAAATGCACAAAATGAGTGAAATGCCAACATCTATCATTGTTGTTCCACAATCCTATTGTTAAAGAAAATTGCCAAAACTCATAGCACATTAGGCAGAACATATGATGTTTTAACAAAGATACAGACTCAACAAACAAACTTCTGAGAAAAGGCTCACCGTAAATTCCTAGAAAAAATACAATCAAATAGTGAAGCAGCACAACAAACGTCTCAAAAAAAAAGTTTAAATAAGTTTTAATTGACCGAACAAATTATTCTCTAGGATGTGGAGAATGTGAATCTCTAACACACTGCTGAAAAATGTAAAAAACTACAATCAGTTAAAGTTTATTTTCTATTTTTAAAGAATCGTTTAGTAATTTTTAGAGAGGGAAGGAGAGAGAGAAGGAAGAGGGAGAGAAACATTGATGGAAGAGTGCCATATTGACCAGCCACCTCCTGCACACCCACTTCTGTGGATATAGCCACAGCACAGGCACATATCCCACTGACAATCAAATCCACAACCTTGTGCTGCATGAGAGGACGGACAAGTACTGACCCACACTGGCCCTGGTGGTATATTCCATTTAGATCACAATTTGCTAATCTCAGTAAATTTAAACATTCATCTACTCAAAAACCCAGACTATGCACTGTATTTTTGACAAAGGTAAATAACACTTATATACATACGAGAAATTATACAGAAATTTTTGTACCAGCTTTGCTAGAAATAAACAAATACTTATTAAAATGGACAAACTGATGGTGATATATCAATGATAAGAATATCTATCAGAGCCCTAACTCATTTGGCTCACTGGATACAGTGCTGGCCTGTGGATCAAAGAGTCCCAGTGTTGATTCTGGTCAAAGGCATGTACTTTGGTTGCAGGCACATATCCAGTAGGGGGGGGAGGGTGATCGATTGATCGATGTTTCTAATTCTCTACCCATTTCCCTTCCTCTCTGTTAAATCAACAAAATAAACATATATATATTTTTCAGAGTTTTTTATTTGAGTACTAGAGGCCCGGTGCACAAAAATTTGTGCACTCGGGGGGGAGGGGGGTCCCTAAGCCCGGCCTGTGCCCTCTCACAGTCTGGG